ACCTTTTCGCTTAGAAAAACTTAGTGTGTAAAGTCCTCTAAATATCAAAAGACGTTACGTGTCGCGGAAATATCAAGTTATCAGCGGTTTGTAATACATCTATTTATCATCTCTCAGTTGCGTCTCTCTCTTTGGTCAGAGTGCACTGATGGTTGCCCAGCTCTGGGGAACAGCTGTCCGAGGCCGGGCCCTCTCAATGCGCCAGAAAGAGGGATCGGTGCTCGCACCGAGGCCGGCGCAACCAACGGTTGCGGGTGTATGCGCTCGGGTCCCCACCTTAAAAAAAGACCTTATGTCACAACTCGTCTTAGTGGGAAAAACAGAGTAAATACCTAACCCTACACACGATTTCCATCGTCACTAAGTGCTCCTCTGCTGCGACAGACTAAACTAAACTTATCAAATGAATATATATATATATATATACATATATATATACACACACATTTATATATATACAGACGTACATATAAACACAAATATATATATATATGCACACACCAATACATATACATACACGCACATGTATATATATACACGCACGCACACATATATATGTGTATATATACACACAAATATATGTACACGCACACACACACACATATATATATATATTGTTTATACATTATTTTTATGGATACAACTTTAGATAAATGTCCTAATTTTAATTAAACAGTATTTGATTACATTTACCGCCCTGAATATTCGAGAAATTTTATAGAAATTACGCGTCCCCCGACAGAAATCGAACCTGTACTCCATATGGAAACCGTCATTTTGCCTAACAGGACAGAAATGATTTATTGAAAAAGGTAGCTGAGGATGTATGTCTATAGCAGTAATTTGAACCAGAACCGGATCTCCTCTGTGGCTGAATGTTTAACAGTACGTCAAGCGAAATGTCGGCTTCTGTAGAGGATACAGTTTCGATTCCTGTCGGAAGACGCATATTTTCTACTAAATTTCTCGAATATTCAGGCCAATAAATCTAAATTAAATACTGTTTAATTAAAAACAGTGCATTTTCTTAAAGTTTCGGGAATGTAGCTATGGTAACAGAGCTAAAGTTCGTGGAGTGAAGACGCTTGACCCAGATTGACCTTGAACACTGTCGCGCATGCTCACATCTCTTGTCTATAGCAGTGCTTCAAAGGAATGTGTGCAGAGTGTGGTCGTCTTACAACACCACAGCGCTTTCATCAGTAACCATGATTTTGCCCAAGCACAACACTTCCCAGGTCCGACAAACACAATATACCTCAGATCTTGCTTTTTGTGACTTTTCATTCTTTCCCAAAATCAAATCCCACTCGAAAGAAACAAGATTTGAAGACGTCGGGAAAATCCAAGAGAATGCGATGGGGAAGCTGCTCGCTATCCCTCAGAAAAGTAGTTCCAGGAATGCTTCCATCAATGGGAACAACGCCGGACAAAAAGAAGACTTATCTCAGCCGACACAAGTGTGAGGAATTTATTTTGCCACAAGTATATATAAACAAAACAAAAATTCTTATTAGTTTTTTTTCAAAATTTTAAAATTTAACAGACGCATATAAATATTCATCAGGTTAACCGAAAAGTTTAGATAAAACTTAAGATTGAAGTAATTTAATATCTAATAAACGAATGAATTATTTTTTATGCAATTAATATTTAAATTATTTAATAAATTTATTTAATACTAGCAGCATGACCCGGCGTTGATTCAAAAATCGTACGACTCATACAGCAATCGCTATCACTTGACTTAAAATATTTTTGTCCTTCCTTGCCTTTAAAGAAGTGTCCTTTGCCGTGCTGATGTTGCTACATGCCTTACTTCTTGCCTAGCTCACACTGCGAATTTTTTCTTAGCTCTATACTAAACATTAAATCTGTTACGAAAAAAGAACTAAACAAAATGAACACAAAACGATCAGCTTTTAAAAAGGACTCGTAACTGGAAAAACCGATACTTTTTCACACCCAACCCAGTTCTGCGGAATCAACGTTGAGTTTAAGCAAGCGAATGAGCCAATTAGAGTGAAGGGCCCTGCAGATTTGAATTTTTCCAACTTGTGACGAATGCAGCTATCGATTTTTTTTTTTTGCATGCTATCATGCTAGTTAACATTCGTGTCAGTCAGCTGTTGGCTCTCACGCTGCCTAGTAGAATCTTCCTGCCTATTCGTGGCAGCCAGCTATAGGCTCTCACTCTGATCAGTAGAAAATGACCGAAAACTACATGAAAATTGCCGTAGAAGCATGAAAAAATCGATTATTTCCACTATCGATGGGAGTTAGGAAACGCAAAGTCAGTCTTGGCTTTGCCGCTAACTTGGAGCATGTGCATGTAAATTTTGGTGCAAATCCGTCGAAAATTGCGGCCATGCATTCGTTACAAACGCGCACACACACACACATCCTGCCTTTTATATATATATATATATATATATATATATATATATATATATATATATATATATATATTAAATAACAGGTTATGGATTTAACACTTTTATTCTATTTTTTTTTTACATTTTATAGTTTTATATATATATATATATATATATATATAAAAATGACTAGCATTGAGTGAGTGGGAAACAGGAAAGCCCGGGGAGCTAGGCTTAACTTTTAGATAGATGGGAGCAAACTGGATGCGATGGGAAAATTTTTGAGTTTGTACTTTTGTGTCTCTTCAAAATATTCAACATCAGGGACAAAAAAAAATGATAATAAACACGTGAAAGGTTGAAGGCCAAGTCATGTGCACTTACGAATTTCAGATATTTACATGAGAAACACTTGGACAGTACGTGATTTCGTGTGAAACACTGGATGCTTAATATTTGTATTTTCCCCTTGTGTGAACCAGATATTCACACGTCTTGAATATCGTCTATTTTTTGGGGGTGGCCTCGGCACCAATTGGAACACTGCAGCGTTCGCAAATCAGAAATCATTTTCTATACTAGTGTCACAGACTCGACGAAAGGTAACTTTAGAAATTTTTTTTTTTTTTTTTGAGTGGAGATGCGTTCCGCTCGTCGTAAATATTCAGTGACTAACATTTGAAATCTTACGTGTAAACGAATCAAAAGCAATAACTACAAATAATTAAAAACAAAAACCTGTACAATAGTCCTTCTAACTTTTTGTACCATTTTTATTTTATTGCCATGTTGTTTGGTTGATTTTGTTTAGTGACGTATCAAACTCTATGGGTTATTTAATGCCGAAATCTTCTTATTTTTTGCATAATTATTTATTTATTTATTTTTAAATAGTAATGATACCAGTCTTACTAATTAACCCATAGCTTGGGGAGAAGAGGTAGATTCATACTTTTAACAAGTGTATTTGCGCGTAAGTGGATATAAAGAACCCAACTCGGCTCTCTGATTAACAATTTCAAGCTATTATCCATTACCCTGTTCGCATATCCAAGCGGTCACCTATCTAGGAACAGCCGTCACCCTTCTGAACAGGCTTAACTTGCTTAACTTCGGTGATCGTACTTTCATGTTAATTGTCCTGGTGAACGTTTCGCTGTGGTACCTAGTGTTTACGAATTGAAGCACAGTATTAGATTGACGGCGAGGTTTCACCATTTTACAGTTTAAATAGATAGATGTAACAGCAAGTTCTATACTAAATGTTCCTTCTATGGCACTTCTCGCTTCTTCAAAAGGTTACATGCATTGTCAATCGTTATCTTCTGTCTTCTTAATTCCTGTTCTTTTATTGTTATCTCCCCTTAATAGGATTTTTTTTTCTCATATTTTAAAAACTTTATCATTGTTCAAATATTCCGCTCGAGGTATTCTCAGCATCCTTCTGTAGAACTCGTGTTCCGTTTCCTTCAGTCTGCTCTTCGTCGGTGAAAAAATGTCCAGCATTCATTGATAAATAGAAGGATTGATATTACATAGAATTCTTGTCTTTGTTTCTAGGAAATCTTGTTCACTGTGTCGTGCCAGATAATTTTTTCGCCAGAATCTTATCTTACACATTTATAAATCTACCACTGAATTGGATCTTGCTGTCTAATCTGTTCTGGTGCTTCTGCTATGTATTTAGAGATTCTTGATGAAATACAATGAAGAATCTTCAATGTTATTAGTCCTGACCTGGCATCTCGGCTTCATTCCCCTTCCCACGGCCGTAACATAGCTTTCCTGTACGTTTTCCACAAATACTTTCATGATAATTGTCCTGGTGAACTTTTCCGCTATGCTACCTAGGTTTATAAATTTAAACGCAGCATTAGATTGGCAGCAATACAATCATTTACAGTTGAAATGGCTAGATGTAACCATGAATTCTATGTTAACAGTTTCTTCTCTCGCACCACTTGCTTGTGGAAATCTCTCCCGGCCTCTTGCTTTAAATTTGACCTTAAAAAATTTAAATGCAATGTCAATTGTTATATTCTGTCGTCTTGTTTCCTGTTCTTTTATTGTTGTCTCCCCTTAGGTTTTTTCCTCATATTCTCCATACTCAGTGAACCGTTGCGTCTTAGTAGCTTTATTGCCTTGCTTGGGGTGAAATGATCTTTTTTTCGTAAAAAGTCGTAAAACGGTAATACTTTCTCCTGTGTGCATGAACTTGCGTGTCTCTCGTGGGCTTTGCTGAGAGTGAAATGAATAATGTTAGTTTAATTAGAATTCATGTTATTTTCACAGGGAAGCGATCAGAAAAATGTAATTATCAATGCTATAAAGAATTCTTAACGTTTCAAAAAATGACAGCGATATTCACAGAACTTAAAACGATTACTTGGTTACTTATTTTAGAGCATCATTTTACTTGCAATTATTGGTACATGACGCAAACATAAGTAGCGAAGTAGTCGTTCCAAGTAACACAGTTAATCGAAATAAGTGCTGCATAATTTGTTAAGATTTTAAAAAAATTGTTTCATGGGTGATTGTTATGTAATCTAGGAATGCTGACGATGTTTGCTGTTTTACTTATATCTTCTTTTTCTTCTTTATATTGGCTTACGGCTGCATTACGTTGAAACACCGGTTCTCGTACGATCAGCGAAGTTAAGCAACGTCGAGCATGCTCAGATGGATGGCGGCTGTTCTTAGATGGGTGACCGCTTGAGAATTTCAGGTGCTGTATTCTTGGATGTGCGGGTGGCGTAATGGATACTGGCTCGAAATTGTTAATCGGAGAGCTTAGTTCAAATTCCCGTTGGTTTCGTTATATTCACTTACGTGAAAATGCTCTTGGAAAAGGCATGAACCCACCTCTTCTTCCACCAGCTATGAGTTAATTAGTATCACTAAAACCATTATTGTCTAAAAAAAATCTTACAATTTAAAAATTAAAATTTTTATTTTTGGCTTTCGATAACCTTGAAATTGCTGATAACCCATAGAAAACGAATTCATCAATTAATATAAAACAAATTACTCAGTAATATATATATATATATATATATATATATATATATATATATATATATATATATATATTTAAAATATATAATGTAAAATAATATTTAATATATAATATATTAACTGCATTCGGAATCTTATTTTCTGTTTTGACTGTTCACCCAAACTCGTGATCAACTTCAAGAACTACTTGTGTATTAAAACGAATTTCAAATATTAGCATTAAATAATTCGAAAATTTTAGTTTGTATGACACGTTGATAAGGAATGTCTAGTCGAGAAAACCGCTCTTTTTACAAAATGACATCACGTAAAAAATAAATATATTTTTCTCCTTTTTTTTTCTTCCCTTGCGAATGAAAATGAATTGATAATGTTATCAGTTATTCAAGCCAACGTATTTTTCTCTAGTTATTTGTCAGATTAGAAACGAACATTTTATTTGTTTATATTCACGTAGGAAAATAAACATTAGTGTCACAGTTGCCGTATTTTTATTCATTTATATGTTTTATTATTATTATTATTATTATTATTATTATTATTATTATTATTATTTTTGATATTTCAATTTATAAGAAGATAAGAAATCAAGCTTTCAAGCGGAGTTAGCCAAATGGTTAACAATTTGAAGAAATACTAGAAAAACAGAAATCAATTTTCAGTTGAAGTAGCCTCTGCTCACTTAAAGCTAGTATTCATAGAAAAGACCATTCTTCTAAATGGTCCCCATTCGTCGATGTTTAGAATATAAGTACTATATATGATCCTGTGCTTTTGTTATATATCTAATGATCCTTGGTAAAGCACAAAGAAGGATCTGCAATATTATCGGCTCTGATCTGGTGCCGTAAAGTTGCCTCTGTTCCTTTTCGATAAATACTTTCATGCTCATTGTTCGCGTGAACTCTTCGCCTAGACCAGGAATTTATGAATATATGCGCAGTACGAGAATGGCGATGAGGTCTCTTCAATGTAGAATCGAGTTGGCTAGATGTAACTTTAAGTTCTAAGCTAACAGTTTCTTTTCTCGCACTTTTCGCTTGTGGAACTATTTTCTGGTTCCATGCTTTCCATTCAACTTTAATCTTCAAATATTTAAATGCAATATCAATCAATCAATCAATCAATCAATCGCTTTCTACTATCCTCTTGATTACTTTTATTCTCTACTCGCTCTTTATTAATGTTTCTGTTTTCTAATTCTTCCACACCTAATAACCATTTATGGCTTTACTGCCTTGCATGGGATGAACTTGTTTTTTTTTTTTAAGTGTGTGATTCCTCCTGCATCTCGCAGCCTGTAACCCAAGACAACGATTTGTTTCTTTCTTAAAGAGGACATGGGAATTAATAAGGTTACAATAGACTCCTAGAAAAATAATAACACGAAGCAACTACCGCCTGATCTACTTTGAAATATTTACTTCTCCAAGGATTAGCTGTCTTGTTTTAATTTTAGACAACATAGTATAAAAGATGTTTGCTACGATCAGCTTTAGTGGCAGTTATATTGGCATGTTCTCATTCTTGCTTATTTGTTCAATCAAAACGGTCTGTCTGGAATTGATTGATTCTTCCTAAGGGCCTTTTCAGTTTTCTAGGTAGTGGTGTTCTAGGCGCAGCCATTACTACAGGAACTGGCCGAGTGGTTAGAACGTTCGCTTTCTGAAAATGCGACACGGATTCGAATCTCACCATAGTCGATTTGTCAGGAAGGAAACTTCCTAATGTTATCGGACTGGAGGGGTTGATCCCAGCAGGCGGCACCTTTGGAAAGTGACCATACCACGGGTTGACCCAAGCCTTGTGAGTGAAATTGGGTAGACGGAACCCTTGGGTGCCGTCGACAGCTATGCTAGCATGAGTCACATGTCAACCTGGCTGAGGGATTCAGCGTGCTGGCCTTGTTCAAATTATTGATAACGCTAGATAACACGCTCTTTCCCAGAAACTGTAACCAAGGTCTGCTTAGCATAGTTGCAATATAAACCACAGGTTAGCTCTGTGGGTGCTGAATAAACACAAATACACCTGAGCAAGCGTCTGCAATAGGGATTGGCTAGCCGCCCTAGTAGACAGGTATCCTCGATTACGAGTGACCAGCAATACATACATACATTACTACAGGAATTAGTTCAACGGTCATTTTCCATAGCTTCTTCATCCATCTAACCTGATACATATTTTTCTCTTTTCAGTTTCTTTGGAGACCAATCTTGGATCATCATGGACAAGTAAAGTCAATGGTTTCCATATTTACCACAATAAGACCAGGTATCCGTGCTCCAATGACATGGTCTCCCTAGACTGAGAAACCCATAATATCTTGTGGTTGTCATTTTCTGTTACCGCCTCTGTCATACGAAGAAGCCAAAAATGTAAGTCCTGGGTATGGCCATAAACTACATCCAACAGCAGGAGGTTTGAAGAGCGTGGAACCACCTCTTAGTTGCCGGTATTCCCAGATCCACCCTGACCCGGGATGGTAGCATCTGTTAGGGCCCCAACTATGGGCAAATAGTTAACCCCTAAACTGGGTTCAAAACCAGTAAAAATAATAATTTTAATATAAGTATTACATTTTTGTAAAAAAAAAAACTATTACCAGCAATGCATTATTACCAGCAATGTTTTTTGGGTTTTTTTTTTAAATATTACCAGCAATAAAAAATCTTGTCGGCATTAAATAACCCACTGATGTTGATATGCCGTAAAAAATAAATGAATCACTAGTGAAGTGGTGAATACTTCTGAACTGTCTGGATTTACTTCATTTCCCATGTTTAGATATGACCACAAGGCAGCATAAGTTTAAATTCAGAGTTCTCCATCCCCTAGATAGACTGCCTTCCTGGGCTTATCGGACTTCATCTACCCGATGTTGATACTCAACATGTTATATGCAATTTATATGTGAATCTAAATAGAACATTATTGGTAGAAGAACGACTTGTAACGTTAATATAACAGTAGAAAAAGAATTCTGTCTTCAGATTCGAAACTCCAGATCCAGTCATAGCTGTGTTCGAATCTTAAGTTCGAGCGTAGCAGTTTGCAACTAGCAGCACAAGAGACACGTTATTGATTTAAATTGCGTTTATTTGAGACGTAACTATTTTATTTCATTTACTTAACTCGTAGATACGCAAATAAAAGCGAAAAGAACAACAAAGATGAAGTTATTTGCACTTAGAGGCTTCGCGTTTTTCAAGAGTAAATTCTTTGGTAAAACACCAATAATTAATTATTGGTAATCCAAGAATGGAACTTTGAAGGGAATTGTAATCATTCACGTCGATAAATTAATTAATGGGTAAGACATCAAGAAGTCGGCTATAGAATTACCCGGGATTACGTAAGAATAAAATCAGATGCTAATGGTTTCAAAAGGATAAGTCTCTGCAGATTGAGATCTTCAAGTAACGCAATTTAATCAAGACTTATTCATAATAGCTGCTGGAAGATGCAAGACGAATCACAATACGAGAAAATATTGACTAATTTTGTTTTCAATATCATCTTGTTGAATGAACGTTCCTCGCTAATTCTTGCTACCTTGCTCGGATTCAGCATCGACGTATAAAGTCAATCAATATAAAATACAAGTGAAGAATGGTAAAGTCTGAGACTCAAAGAAGAGAATAATCATCGGTGATGCCACTTTGTTTTTATTCAAAATGAAAGAAAGCTGAAAAATGTGCGTAAGATAGTATCTATTTAATCATTTTATCCCAAGCAAGGCGAGAATGCCAGTAGGGTTTTACTGGGGGTGAAAGTGAAACAGAAGACTGAGCATGAGGAGGGTTGAGGAAACAAGAAACATAAACGGGATTCAAGAAGATAGAAGATAGCGATTGACGTTGCATTTAAATTTTTGAAGATAGTAGTTATCAGGGAAGCAAGTAAACGAAGTGACGTTCCACAGGTGAGAAGTACGAGCAAAGAAACTGTTGGAGTAGAAGTGGCAGTTGCGTTTAGCTATTTCAACAGTACTCCGGTGGGACGGGGATGCAAATCTAAAGGCTTAACATCAGAGCTGAAATTTCTAGGGTACATATTGAGGAAAGAACGCATGGAAAATTTGATACACACAAGACAGATTGAAGTCAAGATGGAGAGAGGAAAACAGCACATAACCTGCCTAACGATCTTGAGTAAATGGATGGCATGGTAGGGTCTAAGAGAGATAAAATAATGACAAACTTTATTTAAAGCTACAGAGGACAGTTAATTGTCAACGTCCTGAAGGGAGGAGATATACAGAAGAAAAAAAGGCTGCTTTTAATTTTAATTTCTTTCTTTTGTCATTTCCCCATCTGCGTGTCATAGATCTTCAAAAATTTACTGGCTTGTTAATTTTAACGTTTCAAAAACAAAACTGCTCTGTGCCATTAAAAATCATTTTTACCTTCCATCACCATGGCTGATGCTAACCTTCAGGAGAGTGACTTTCTCGGGCTAACGTTTTCCGCTGACTTGAAACAGAAAAATTTTATTGAATCAACGGCTAAGTCAGTTGCTTAGAAGGTTTGTACACTATGTACTCAGTTAATAACAGATTGTAGGCCAGTTTTGAGAACAGATGTCAATTTGACTTTATCAGACTTTCTACAGAGACAGAAGAATTTTTTATCCTTGAAGTCTTTTTTTTTTACCGTGACAGCTTCGTTACTGTTTTGACTACATCAACTTTAACCATGAGCCTTTGCTTGAATAAACC